ATGGCAGAGTGGAGGAGGAGGGTATTAAATATCAGAGAGTTATTTAAAAGCCAGTTGCCTGCCCCTAAGAAGCAGAACTGGCCTCTGCTGACTCAACGGAGAAAATGAATATTGGGCCTATGGATTTTCCTGTGTCTGATGGTGGTGGGGGAAGGGGAGAGGGGGGGTGAGAAAGGGGTGAACAGCAAGGCCCACAGAGGAGCCTTCCCCTCCCTGTGGTGAGGAAGCTGTGCAAGAGACAACCCCTCCCCCACGGCCTAATGACTGATCATCATGCCAGGCCTGCCGGGCTGCTCCCTCATTCGCCTAGGAGGAAGGGGGAACAGAGGGAAAGGGAGGCAGCACGAGGATAAAGGGAGGCTGGGTCACGGGACACTACAACACCCAACCTGGAAGGACCCCAGTCGCCCTGCCACCACTTTACAGCTGGGCAACTAAGGCCTTAACTGGGGTGGAGCCAAGTTCAAGGTCACACATTGAGAAGGTGGGGACGTCAACTTGGGCAAATCACAGCATTACTGTCCCCTTCCTGACCCCATCCCTAAAATCCCAAGGGGCACTAGACTAAAAGGTCTCCAAGACCACCCTGTACACACACACACACACTTTTTTATAGGCAGGGAAACTGAGGTCTGGAAAGACAGAGACTGGCTCAAGGACTTCAGCAACAGTGAGACACTTCTGATAACAAAATGGAGCTGGAGCTTGATGGGGAAGGAGCTACCTGCTGGATGGCCTCAGGGAAGTCACCAAATCTCTCTGTGCTCCCTACCAAGGCACAGTGGAGCTAAAGAGAGCAGAGTCTGTACCAGGAGAAAAGGGGCCCAGTGGAGGAGCTAGAGGAACAGAGAGGGGACAACAGCTTGGGAGGCTCAGAGAGGGCCTCTGGGACCTAGCGGGGTAATAAATTCAAGAACCGAGGTCGTCCAGTGTGGCTGACATGGGGAGTCCCATCGGGCACGGGGCAGGTGATCACTCTGCCTGGGTGGGGATGGGGTGCCTCGCTTGCGTTGAGTCCTCAGGGAACCCTGAGGGCCTGAGCTCTTTGCCCACAGGCTCCCCTGGGATCTGATCCAGCCACACTCCGGCAGAGAGGGATCCTAGCACAGGGAGGGCTGCGGCAAAGGAGATGAGCAAGAAACCTGAGCTCCTCTCGGGCTCAGGTCCCAGTCAGCTGTGCAACCTTGGGGAAAGCACTTAACCTTTCTGGGTAGTCGTCTCCTGGTGTCGAGTATAGATGGGGGATCCTCACCAAGCTCACTTTATAGGGATGGGAGAATGGAGCCAGGGATTTTAAAATCATTGTTTCATTCAGTAAACATTCCCTGGTACCTTCTCTGTACTGAGCCCTGAGCTGCGTGCTGACAACACAGGAAACAAAACCAGTCCTGAGCCCCAGTTGCTGACAGTCAAGGGGCTCAGGGGAGTCAAGCCCTCTGATCACTAAATGAAGTTCAAAGAAAGTCACAAGGGCTTCCTGGAGGTGGCAAATCACACACTGAGCCCAAAGCAACAGTGGGCTGGACTGGAGTAACAGCCAAGGGGAGAGCACTCCGGGTGGGGCAAACAGTCCAAGAAAAGATACTTCCATTGGATGCATCAGAGAATAAACACACAGCCTCAGACTCAGTGGACATGCATTTATTGAATACCTACTGAACACTGACAACTCCCAGATGGAGAGGGCTGTCCTTCCAGAGAACAAAGACCACCCCTCCCTGAAACAGCTCACAGACCTGTGTTTAGGGGAACTTGGACAGAGAGAACTTGTAAGGGAAATAGCTACACGAAGTGGGGAAAGAGGGGAGGAGGCTGAGTAGAGGCCACACATTGAGTCAAGCAAGTACAGACTCATCTTATTAATAACCACCATGAATTTGCTGTTTGTGGGGAGGGAGGGACATGGAACAGGGCAAAATGACCTGGGAGCTACTTAGAACCAGAAAGGGGCAATGCCGGGGTCACAAGGATGGGTGGCAGCATGAATGCTCTGCCCCCAGACCCCAGGTGATAGGGCTTTTCTTTCTTTGACACACTTTCAATTCACTTTATCACAACAGCCCTGAGAGAAGCAGGAAGGACAGGAATTCAGAAGCCTACCCACTTCACAGAAGAGGGAGCTGACAGTAGCCCAAGGTGGAGAGAGAGGTCCAAGGTCATGCCAGACCAACCTTGGCATCCACTCCCGGCTCAGCTTCCTGGGGTCAGGATGAGACTTCCCTGGGGAGGAGAACCCTCTCTGATGCAGCCCACCATCTTGGACAGAGCCCTGGACAAGGACCCTGGGGCCAGGTTTCTAGGCTAAACCCTGACAACCACTGGCTTTGGGACAAGTCCCTGGACCTCTGGCCTTGGTTTCACCATTCATACAGCACAAAGAATATCTGCCTTGCTCTCTAGTACCGGAAGATTCTACATTCTCTGTGGGCCTCCTTTCCCCAGCTGAGGTGTCACCCCCAATCCAGGCTGCCTACTGTCCCACCCTTTCCCAGGGAAGAAGCTCTGGTCTTGGCAATGTCTGTGATTCCTCAGGGCCTGGAGGCAGAAGGGTCTGTATGCAGCAGGACAGGGAAAGAGAGGATGTTCTCTGTTCATTCACTCATTCATTCATCCACAGACATTTATTGCACACTCTCACTAGTCCCTGTACTGGAAACATAAAAGTGAAGGTGACCTAGTGCCTCCCACTAGGGAAGATGTCAGAGCTGGGGCTTTTAGTTGCAAGGGCCAGTAATGAGGGGAGTGCAGTAGCTGAGGGCCCGACCCCAACAGCATGTATTTAGCACTTGTACCCATGTGAGAAAAGACACCACCAGCCTTTTACCTCCACAGACCAAGGGCATAGTGCAGGGCAGGTGTGGGCTCCTAGCATGTGGTTTATCTCTCGATGTCATGTGCTTGCATGCATGGGTCTGTAAGCTTGCCCCTCTGAGAATGCACCCAGGAACTTGCACGAGCCCAGAAATGTGCATATTCAAGTATGTATGTGCTTATGAATCTACGGACACATACCAGGACGCACTCAAACCTATGATCCTATGTGCACATGTATGAATGCATGTGTATGAGTCTACACATACTTGCATGAGGTCCACCTAAGCCTGCCTGGAACTGTGAAAAAGCTTGTGTAAGCCTTCCCATGCATGTGTATGCACATCCAAGTTAGCGTGACTCTGTTCACATGCAGACACACCTAGGTCTGTGTCAAGCTTGTCTTCACACGTACAGATACATATGTATGTACAATCTCATGTATGCATCTGTATAGATGTGTCCAGTCCTGCGTGTGCAAGTTATTGTTCTTCATCTGCCAATACCTGGGAGAACTACTGGGGTGGGGGAGAAAGGGCTAGGGGAGGAGAATGCTGGGGGACCCCCACCATCACCAGCCCTGGTCCTTAATGTTGGTCTTTGCCCAAGACCCAGGCCACTGCAGGGTCTGCCTCTTCTCCTTAAGTGCTATTGATCCATTGGTCGATCTGTTAAATATAACCTCAGGGAAGGAATCAACCCAACAACGTCCCCAATTCAGGAGAAGGAGACTGACTGATTCTTGGGGGATGTGGGGGGAGGTCTCTATCCCAACCAGTTCTGCTGATATCCGAATGGCCTGCGGATCAAGTGTCAGCCTCTCCAGCCTGAATAATTCATGCTAAAGCCAGGAATGCTCCCATCTCAGGAGCCTGTCTCTTTAAATCAGGTCTGGAGCTTCCCAGTTCTGGGGAAAAAAAAAAAAAATCCAGAGCAAAACAAATCTATAAACCGCTCAGCTTCCACCTCAGCCCTGGCCCCTTCTGAGACCCCCCACTCCGTGCTGTAAAATCTGCTCCCGTTCTTCCAGTCTCTGGAGCCGGGAACTCTCCCACCCCATTCGCCACTTACAGGTGGGGAAGTCTGGAGGGGTGGCTGGGCTGGTTGATGGTGTCTAACGGAACCCCAGGGGTCTAGTGGGCTACTGAGGTGCCAGGGCAGGGAGGGAAAGCAAAGAGCTGAATCACTGCACACACGCACACACACCGGTCCCTGTGGTCAGCAGAGTGCTTGAGCGAGGAGTCCAGCCTGGTGGGGAAACCAGATGGGAGAACTCCCAGCAGAGGTAGAACAGCCAGAGAGTTGGGGGCAGGAGGTGCTGGGCGAAGGAGACAGACTTCCCCAGGGGATGGGATCGAGAAAAGTCTAGTCCCACAGGACCTTCAGGGGTGGTGACCCAACGGGGTCCAATGGAACTGGGGTCGCAGAGAAGGAGGCTGAGGCTGGGGATTTTCCAGCCTCTCTCTCTCTTTCTCTCTCTCTCTCCTAGTACAGCCCTTTCCCTGATCACAGAGATTAGGAAGAGGCTGAAAAATTAGTAACTTTCTCAGTCCCCCGTTCATCCCTGTCTCCTCTGGTAGGGGCCCATCTAAATTCCTCCTCCCAAATTCTCCCCGGTGCTGCCCCACCTGCCAGCTCTCCCCAGCCGGCCCCGCCCCACACGTGCCAGAGAGGGAGGAAGCAACCAGCTTAATCCTGGGGGATGGGGAGAAGGGGGGGAAGCAAGTCAGAGCCTCGCGGAGCCAAACTTCTCAGTAGCCCTGGAGCCGGAGAGGAGGGAGAGAAAGCGCAGCAGCCGAAAGCCCTGATTCTCGGGAGCCTCCCACCCCGCCTCCCTCGGCGAGGAGGGCGCGGAGGCTCCGCTGGGGGCGGAGGAGGAGGCCGGGAGGCGGGGAGGGGGGAGGCAAACCCTGCCCACTCGGCTGCGAGCCCGGAACGGCCGCAGAAGTCGGAGGCCGGCGCGCAGGGCGAGGAGGGCACCGGGGGCGGGGGGCTCCGCTGCCCGCCTAACCCCTCTCGCCCCCAGCCAGGAAAGTGAAGGCTCCTCGGACTTTAGAGACGGCGGACGGACCCACAGAGATTGCCAGCCACTCCGGGTCAAGGACTTGCCCCACCCGTGCCTCCCACCAGGCGCTCCCAACTCACTGGTGAGCGCAGCGGCCCGGGAGCTGGATGCGGGGACGGCCGCGATGGCCCCGTGCGCGGGACAGTCGGGGCTCCGGGGACCGCTGCTGCCGGGGCTGCTGCTCGTGGCGGCGGCGCTGAGCCGGCCCGCTGCTCCGTGTCCCTTCCAGTGCTACTGCTTCGGCGGCCCAAAGCTTCTGTTGCGCTGCGCGTCGGGCGCCGAGCTCCGGCAGCCGCCACGGGACGTGCCGCCCGACGCGCGCAACCTCACCATCGTGGGCGCCAACCTGACGGTGCTGCGCGCGTCCGCCTTCGCCGGCGGGGACGCGGACGGGGAAGAGGAGGCGGCGGGCGTACGCCTGCCGCTGCTGACCGCGCTGCGCCTCACGCACAACAACATCGAGGTAGTGGAGGACGGCGCCTTCGACGGGCTGCCCAGCCTGGCGGCGCTCGACCTGAGCCACAACCCGCTGCGCGCCCTGGGCGGCGGCGCCTTCCGCGGGCTGCGCGCGCTGCGCTCGCTGCAGCTCAACCACGCGCTGGCGCGGGGCGGGCCCGCGCTGCTGGACTCGCTGGACGCCGCGCTCGCCCCGCTGGCCGAGCTGCGCCTCCTCGGCCTGGCGGGCAACGCGCTGAGCCGCCTGCCGCCCACCGCGCTGCGCCTGGCGCGCCTGGAGCAGCTGGACGCGCGCCTCAACGCGCTGGCCGGCCTGGGCCCCGACGAGCTGCGCGCGCTCGAGCGCGAGGAAGGTCTGCCCGGGCCGCGCCTGCTGCTCGCCGACAACCCTCTGCGCTGCGGCTGCGCCGTGCGCCCCCTGCTGACTTGGCTGCGCAACGCCACGGAGCGCGTACCCGACGCGCGGCGCCTGCGCTGCGCCTCCCCGCGGGCGCTGCACAACCGGCCTCTGCTGGACCTGGACGAGGCGCGGCTGCGCTGCGCCGACCGCGACGCCGACGGTCGCGGGGAAGAGGCGGAAGCCGCCGGCCCGGAGCTGGAAGCCTCCTACGTCTTCTTCGGGCTGGTGCTAGCGCTCATCGGCCTCATCTTCCTCATGGTGCTCTACCTAAACCGGCGTGGCATCCAGCGCTGGATGCGCAACTTGCGCGAGGCCTGCCGGGACCAGATGGAGGGCTACCACTACCGCTACGAGCAGGACGCCGACCCGCGCCGCGCACCCGCCCCCGCGGCGCCCGCCGGCTCCCGCGCCACCTCTCCGGGCTCTGGCCTCTGAGCTTCGCCTCCCGGGGGCTGGGGGCTGCCCCTGCCTGCTGGTGACCTCACTGGGGCCGCCTGGCCTGAAGCCGTGGACATGAGATACCCGCGAGGTTGGAGCTCCTAGACCTGCCTGAGACCTTTGGATCATGGCATCCCCCCACTCGGTGGCCCTAAGCTGTACCCCGTCTCCCCCGCCTCTGAGAGCTCCCACTGTCACAGACCCAGAGACATCCCTTCTGGTTCCAGAAACCCCAGCCGCCCACCCTAGGTTCTGAAACATCCCTCCTGGACCACTGAAACCCCCTCCGGGTTTCAAGACCCACCCACAGACCCTGTCTGTCCTTCGATCCTAAAGCTCTGAGACTGCCTCCACCACCCTGGGCTTTGAGCCCCGGTGCTAGACTGCACTGACCCCCATTTCCAACTTGGAGCTCTCAGCTCCCCTCTCAGGGCTCATGGGCCCTCCCATCCCATTCTGGTCTCAAAAGCAGAGTGCCCCGTCAGAAGGTTTTTGTGGACTTTGAGCCCTTTGTCCCATCCCAGAGCTCTGAGCCTTCCATCCTGCATGGAAACCCATATCTTTGGGCTCTGAAGGTTGGGCACCCTCCCCCTTATAAGGATATATTTCATACCCCTGCCTCCCTCATCACACACACACACACACACCCAGCTCTGGCTCCGGCCCCTCCCTTTGCTGGTCCAGGGATGGAGCTGAGCTCCCAGTCTGTCTGCCCCAGGGACAAGCACAACCCGTTCTAGCCTTAGTGTAGAGCCGACCCTCAGCCTTTTCAACCCGGGCTCTGATCTCCCAATACTCAGTGCTTGTCCCCAATCTCAGACTCTCAGCTCTTCACCCCACCTGAGTTTCATCCCCCTGCCCAAGTCTTAGGTTCTCGACTCCCCCACACCAAGTACGTGCACTCAGTCCCCACCCCTGCCACTCACTAGTCAAGGTCCAGTGAGAAAGCCCCTGGGATGTGTTCACCCCCCTCTCCTCCCTGGATGAGCTCTCCAGTCTGCCAGACGGGTGCAGGTGCCAAGCACCCCTAGTGCTTACTGGCAGATCCCATCGGGAAGGAGAGAGTCCTGGGTGTATGAAGGGGATGGTGGGGCCTCCGGACCAGGGTCTCCCGCCCATTGTGGCTGCAGAGAGAGGAGGGAGTGGGCTCTGAAGGGCAGGGAGCTGCTGTTCACCGATTTCCCCATGCTCTTTCCCACCTAGTGTGGTTCTTCTACCCTGGGGTTTCTTTGTTGCCATGAGCCCACCCCATATGCCTTCTGGAAGAGAAGGGGTCTTGCCTCCTGCCTCAGGCACAGGCCCCTGGTTCAGGGTCAGAGCCTCAGCACCCTGCCTTCTGCATGATCCCAAAGCACAATTGGTGAGTAGGGAGGGGGCCACCTCTCCCTGACTCCCCACCCCCTAGGTCAGGCAGAACGGCTGGCCTGTGCTGCCTCTGCACACAGGAAGTCACCCTCCTTTAATATATTGGCTTGAGGCCTGCCTTCCCGCCCCTCCCCAAAACTCTGGATCTCCCTTGGGCCGTTTTCTATAAAGTCTGCAATAATCTCAGACACTCTGCTCTCATAAGTGGTGCCGTGTCATTCCTGATGACCTTGGGGCACTGGTGGGGGTGGGAGGGGATACGTGGGAGGGCATTTTGGACCTCCCTGAGGTGGAGCAATGGTGATACTTGATGTGCTCTCCCAGACTATGAAAGAAGAAATAGGCTCTGACTATACATAGCAGGATTAAGGCTAGACACTTGGAGGGACTTCCCATTGGGATGACACTGCTCTCCAAGCCAGTCTGCTTTTTATCCTCAGAGATGGGGTTATGCACAGCCAAGGTGGCTTCGGATGGTTCCTCTACATCTTCAGGGTGGGGATGGGGATGTAGTTGGACTAACGAGCTAACAGACGAGGTTACGGGGAGGAAATCCATCTACAGAGGATGAGGCAGTTATTCAGACAGGGAAGAGGAGGGATCGTTTGCTTTGGGATCATCCCTCTGATGAATTACCTGATACTCCCTTATGCCCTGTGTCACACCACGCTGTCCTGGCTGGAGGGGTAAGAACTGCACACTCGATATGTGAGAGGCTGAGAAAAGCAGTCTAGAGGTCAGGGGTGGGGTGGGGGGTGGATAAAATGACTCCTTGAGATATGTGGAGCAGGGGGACAGGTGGGTTCTGGGCCAGTAAGGCCTCAGGCCCCCAGGTGGGATTATTTTGCATTCAGGGTCACAGAGTTCTAGAACCATGGGGCAGAAATCTAGAATTCTGGCATTTTAGAATCTTAGGGCCACATAATTCTAGAATTTGTGCCTTGTAAACATTGAGAAGGACCTCAGAGGTAATGTGGGAAGTCTGCTAAGCTGTCTCAACAGGGAGCCATCTCGTGATGGGGAGCTCACTCCCTCCCCTCCTGGGAGCATCCCTTGCAGTGCCAGAGGAATCTGCCTGGGACTCCCTGACAGTCCCAGCTTTGCCTTGGGGCCAAGAGCTCACCTCACCCCAGGACAGCTCTTCACAGAGACAACTCATGAGGCTCCTTACTTTCTCCCTACCCCTCCCAGTCATTCCTCATGGAAGAGATTAAATCCTCTTGAAGCATTCCCATCTATCAATGACCTTCAACCCCCTAGGACGAAATAGTGACAGTCTCTTTAACACAGGTTAGAGAACCGTGTCTGGTCTCTACAGATGCCCTCCCCAGTTCCAGAAACATGCAGTCTGATAATGTAACCTAAGAGCACAATAAGTCCTGGCAAGTAAAACATGCTATTAGCTGTGGGTTTGTTGTCAGCAAAAATCCTTGAGGCTTTTATATGAGAGCTACTGCTAAGCTAAGTATCAAATCAATAGTTATCAAAAATCAACTAATCGAGTGCCTACTGTATGCCAGTTGATGTTTCACCTTAACACTATTTACCAAGTCCTATTAAATGTTGTCTCTGGGCTGCCATCCTCCTTGCGGTCTGTCAGTGGCCTTTGGCCTTATGGGACTATCAACAGGGTCCCATGGCGCCCAGCCTTGTCTCCTCTACAAAGCCAGCCATTCATTCAGCCTTTCCCTAATGCAACTCCACCAGTCCTAGAGAAGACAGTGACCCAGGGAAGGAATTACATTTAATCAAGGTTTAGAGACAAGAAACCCCAGGAAACTATGAGACCTCCAAGTAAGGGCCCCTGACCCAGCCAACAGAGACTTCCTAGAGGAAGTCACATTTGAGCTGGGTTTTGAAGGATGACTAGGAGTTTGCAGAACAGAGAAAGATCCTAAGTATCAACTTCAGTGAAGGCCTGGAGGTGGGAAGATCTTGTTAGTTCGGAGGATTACAGAAGAGCAGCAGTGGCTGGGGCTAGGTAGGAGGATGGGGGCAGGGGTGGAGACTGGATCTGCGTTCATATTCTCCACTGGGAAGCACTAGAGGGACCTCTGCCCTCAGAGGAAAAGCCAGGGAAGTAGAGAGGAGTGGTGTGGGGCAGGGGAGCTGCACTGTGCCTCCTACTTGTACAGCCTGCTGGTTCCTTCCTTCTGCCCATCCTCTTTGTGACAGGCTTTGTGCCAGCCACTGGAGACACAGAGAGAAATGGGACCTAAGATGTGCCCCCAGGAGGCCAGACAGGCAGAGGGATGAGGGAAGGGGAAGGGAGCCCAGAAGAGATCTTATGCGAAAAGGTGAGATGGGGTCTGGCCGGCTCCGCCCGGACTCCCTGATCCCACCACCCACTCCAGACTCTCTCTCAGCAGTGCCACGGCCCCACTGAATGGCCAGCCTCCTCCCCTAATCGTACACTGTGAGTACTGCTGAAAGTGTGAGGTGGGCAGGGCCCCGGAGGCCTGGGGACTGCAGGGACCAAGAGGCAGAGGGAAAAGTCTACCTCTAGGATGTCGCTTTAAGAGCAGTCACAGTAGAGAGCAGGAGAGGAGAAGAAAGGTGTGTGTGTAACTGTCAGAGATGCGGTAGACAGGAAAGCAGCTGCACGCTGAAGAAACATGGCAGACTTCTCGGGGTTCTGTGACGCTGAGAACTTGGTGAAATCGCCTTTCAAAAACGTCTTCTTGAGAAGCCTTCCACTTGCATGCCCCCTTGCCTGCTCACACCCCTCAGCCCTGGAGTGGGAACCAGCAGGGCCTGCCTAGAGTCGGAGGACCGGGTTTGAGTCTGAACTCAGCACCTGGCTTCCATGTCACCTGGCCCTTAGTCAGAAATACTGGTTGAGGCCTGACTGCGTGCCGGATGCTGGAGATTCAGCAGTGACCTCAGCAGAGCAGGCTCCTGCCTTCCTGGCCCAGCCTGACCCTGTGGCCTTGGACGCCCCTGCCCCTGTGGCTCCAGGCTGGGGCTGGACTTGTGACCTCTGGAAGCACTGCCTGCTCTCCGTGAAGTCCATCTCCTTTTTCATTAAGTCTCTGCCTGGCAGACTCTGGGCCCTAATTTATGGGTATGGCCTTTCCCAGACTGGGAGAAGTGACGGGGGCAGTTAATATTCCTGTGGTAATGTACTTGGCCGCCTTCGGAGTCCCCTCCTCCACCCCCTCACCCCTGCCTTACTACCCCACCCCGTCCCTCAGTGCTGCCACAAGACAATTTACCAGGGATTGGCCAGGCCCATGCAGACCACTAACTCTTTATTGGATGGGTGGGGAAACTGAGGCTCAGAGTGCACAGGAGGCCATCCAGGTCACACAGGGTGGCAGGAGCAGCTCCAGAGCCCAGGATGCCCCCAGATACTGGGTCTGAGTATCTGGCAGGGCCACCCCGCCTCGTAACTTGTATCTCAGCCCTGTTCACTACCTCCAGGAGCCAGACCCAAGCCTGTGGCAGCCTGGAGATGAAAACAAAAGAAGTGAACAATGGAGGGGCGGGAGGACTCTTTGGCCTCCACTGGCAGCTCCCAGCAGGCGTCAGAAATCCCCACCAGCATCTTGCAGGCAGCAGCCCTGCTGGGACTCTTGTCCACCCTCCCTGGGAGGAGAAAGGGGCTTGTTTGGCACCGGCAAGCTCTGCGG